TGCCCAACAAACATTACTCTACAATGATGTATCCAAGGGACGCTAGACCCGATTTCCAGCAGGTGCTGCTCCCCACCAATAGATGGAGCCTCCCCGGCGGTGCTAGAGGTGTCTGCTCTTATCAGCACACCTAGCATCTGACCGGGTTGTTCTCAAAAAAAAAAAGAAAAAAAAAAAAAAGAAGAAACCTCTTTGGTGACTCCCTCATAGTTACCCCATAGTCTAGTCTCGATCTGTAGTAGTGATCTGGACCGTTGGTTCTCAAGAGACCTTGGGCATGACGAGTCACAATGATTTACTTCAGAGAACGTTTCATGGAAGGGACACTCCAGCCACGCCGTGAGTACCACTCCGGGTAGAATTGTGAGGTCCCTCCATGACATAGTAAGAGCTACAGTCCTATTTTTCAGCAAAAAAAGAAAAAGGGAAAAAAGAGCGAGTAGGGCCAACATTTGACAAATTTGTAAATGTAGGAAAGTAGGCGCGCTAGTGGGAATACTCACACTAGCACACATTTTCATAAAATTAAAAATTGTAAATTGTAGGTCATTTTTCGGGTCACAAAGGCTACGTATTTTGCGTTTTCACGCAAATGGGCACGTAAATGCCAGCGGCTTGGACAGCAGCGGGGTTACGTATTTTGCGGGAACCTCTGGAGCACGGTCCCGTTAGAAGTCGGATAGGAGTGTGGCTGTGACACTGAGTGGCAGCGGGCTGACAGGTTCATTACGAATTTCTAGGCTGAGAAAACAGGAGAAAGGCGAAAAAAAAAAAGAAAAAGAGACCTGCCACCGGAGATCACGGCAGAGTAATTCCCAGACATCAGATCACAGATGATCTGATGGCATGGTCCCACTAGCAACGGGATAGGATAGAAACGAGTTTGTGGGACAGTTGAGTGACCCAAATCCTGCCGTGCAGTACTCGCGATCCCACGGTCAGTGTTTTACATGTATTACCCGAAAAAGTAAGGTGATATTTGTTCCCCTCCTCCTCTCCTTAACACTGGGCAAAAGAAAGCTTCCCACCAGAATCGTTTCAATCGGTTGGGGGTGTGGCCAACCCCAAAAGATGAGGGGTCGGCCATAGGCCCAGTGGATAGAAGATTTTCAGTATTTTACTTGCTGTTGAGCAATTGTCTCATTGGGTGGAGCCCTCCTTCAATTATGGAGGGGGTCAGGATCACTGCTGACAGAAGTCGAGTTTAGGGGCTGATCCGACCTCTCTTCTTTTCGGGAAGAACCAAAAAGAACCGGCTTGGGCGGGCCCGCCCCTTGAGGAAAGGAAAAGTGATTTTGGATCCCACTTGGGCGACAATAGCGGGACTCTTACGTCCCAAGGGGAAATGAACGTGCTGTCACACAGAGGAGAGGACAGCGTATCCCACCGGATATTGAAAAGGAAAAAAAAAAATGCCGGCCTTCTTTTTAGGAGCAGGGACGGTGCTGGCTTCTACCGATTTTGGCCGCGGGTCGCGGAACACCTGCCACGTACACGTTTGTTTTCACTCGCTGCCAAACTCCACGCGGAGACCTACAAACTCGGAAAGTAGTCGAATCCCGTGAAAACCAGTAGACTACGCTCCGTAGCAGTAGTCGGATCTTATTCCTGAAAATGTGGCAGTTACTTTGTTCACTGTTGTTCCCCGCAATGACGTATTTCTTCTAGACCTGTTTCTTTCCGGAAACAAAAAAAAAAAGACTTCGACGTGTGGTGGGCAGCTCTCGTAAGGGGAAAAAAAAAAAAAAAAACAGGAAAAAGGGATGGATTTTTATGCATCGTGCTGTGTGACCCCTCTGCCCGTATAATAGCATTCGTAGAGCAGATCGAGACTGTGTCCTTTCTGTTTTGTGACGCATACAGGTGTGCTGTGTGACTGGGAAGTGCCGTTATTGCCGTATAATGATACTAAATCGCAAATTGGCTCACATATAATTTGCGATTGAACGTGCTAGTGTGAGCATGCCCTCAGTTCAGACGAAATAAGTGGGGGCAATAAGGCGGGCAAACAGTTGGCCCAGCTTGGTTGGTATACTCACGTGTCATGAGCGGTTGAAATACAGACCTCCGTTCAAATCCAGCTGCAATCATATGAGCAGGAAAAAGAACAGCTCTGAATTACACGGGGTTCAATGATGAACTCTTTCTAGGAAGGGGGGTGTGCCAGGGCCGTGCTAGGTTGGTGTGCCTTCCTCATTCCTTTGAGCCGCATTCATTCATGCAAAGGACGCCCACGCTCACCCTGGTTTCCTGTACGGTTCCTGCCATCCAATCTGTAAATCTCACGGCCAAATTCTGACCCGGTTGAAAATTACTGGCAACCATGGCCCCCGTTTTCCGGCATCGTAAATATATATATTTTTCTATTTCTTTTTTTAATTATAGAGGCTAATTCTTTTAAGCCCAACCAATTCAATTGCCTGTCAAATCTGGACAGGACGGCCTTCCAGGTCATTTCTTATTGTTATAGTATTACGGGGAACCCGGTAGCAGCCAGCCCGAGTTCAAGCCTCCAACAAGTGAACATGCGGGGGCTGCACCCGACCTGCAGGTGGACGATACCGGCCAGGGGTCCGCGGTAGCATCAGGACGGAGCTTCTTCGATGGGCCAGTCGCTGTGCCTCCGCTCCGGTCCCCTCCCCCTACGAACATCAGCAGTCTCTGCTCAATGCCCTGCAGGTGGACGATACCGGCCAGGGGTCCGCCGGTAGCATCAGGACG